GTGTGTGTGTGTGTGTGTGTGTGTGTGTGTGTGTGTGTGTGTGTGTGTATTGGTGGGGTTTTTACTCGCTTGCTATTCTTGGGCATGGGGGTGCTTTATTTTCCTCTTTCTTTGGGTCTCAGGTTTGCGCGGTGGCTGTGACCGCTGGCGACAAGTGCTTTCTCAGCCGCAACCCAGCTGAAAGAGTTAAGGGGGCCGGGAGGAGGAGTGCGCCCGGTAGGCGGGAGAAGCGGGGTGGGGGGGGGGGACGCGGCCAAGCGGAAACGCTGCACAGAGGAACCTCAGCGAACCAAGAAAAAAGAGAAAGTGGCAACGAAAACAAGGGCAAATTAAACCCTCCTTGGGGATTTCCAATGAACTAACCCAATTCGGACATTCAATAAATACACGACTCTTAATGAGGGTGCTTGTGTTTGCACCGGCACCCCCCAGCTGCAGGGCACCGGCCTGCACCCTGCACCCTGCAGCCTGCAGTCCCAGCCCGAGCTGCAGCCGAGAACGTAACCTGGCGGCCAGTGTGCTTCGAATATAAAGAACTGGCCTGCCTTCTCCCCCATGCATAATTCCTCTGCCGAGCTCACTTAGGTGAACTCAGTTACAGTGGAAGCTCTCCAGCTCAGCAGCAGCCTCTGCGTGATCTCGAGATTAACCGTAGACGCGAAGCATTTATGTAGGATTGGGTCCAGCTTTTGCTTGCCGGGTGAAAAGATACCATCTTAGGAACAGATCTAAAAGGCAGCAGTAACCAAAGCCCCAAACAGAACGGATTCCCTCCTCCTTCCCAAAAGGTTCCTTTTTATATTTATGTATGCGTATATGTATATATAAAAGATGGAACACAGATTTCATTGAATAAATCTGAGATCTCCAGGTGCAGACGTTTGAATGGTCGGTGCCAGCACCCCGTGTTTTCCTTTCCTGCCGATTTTGCTTGGATCCGGCTCAAAAACCGAAAGAGTCTCGTGGTTTTGTTTACACTGAATGGGGAGGATAGGAACAGAGCCATGGGGCCGCCTTTCATTAATATACAGTGAGGATTTTGTCTAAATTACTGCTATGAGTTTCACAGTACACGCTTTCAAAAGCCGTCTCAGGTGGCCTGACGAAACGGGATAGCGCCTCTGCAAACAGAGCCACTCTCCTTTTGCGAGGAGGGTGTGCGCATTCGGGAAGCCCCCCAAACGCTGTGCTCCTCAATAACAGAAACGCACTTCTGTTCCCAGGTCTGTCCCTTTTCCCTCCCTTCCATGTACTTAGTTCTCAAATCGCTCCCCAGCTTCCCCCCCCCTCCCGCCCCACCCCATCCGCCCCCTCCCTCTGCCGAGTGTGATTGTTTTGTCTGGAAAAAAAATCCAAAGTATATAACAAGGGGAGAACAGTTAGTGCTGATTTTCATTTGCATACATTTTCATATATTTTGGTGAAAATAATAGACTAGTGAGAACTGGGCTTAGAGGAGTCAGTGTAAAGGGAAGGCTAAGGATGCGCCGGTTCTGGAGAGTAGAGAAAAACGCCTTCTCCTCTACCCCTCCAGGCACCTTATTTAAAAAAACAACAACCTTTTATTTAAAAGTCTAACCTTGGGAGTTTGCTGGGTAAGTGGTTTTTTTCCCCCCATTTTCTTCCTTTGCTTTCTCCTTTCCCTTTCCGTCCTTTCTGGTGTATTTATTTATGTTCTTGTAGGTTTGGAAGCTTTATTTTCATTGCTTGGGAGGAGAGAGGAAGGGAAAGTGTGTCGGAGGGAGTGAGCAAAAGGAATCTGACGTTGCTAAAATAATACAAAAAAGGTGGACTGGTTCCAGAGGCCCTCACAGCAAGAGCTTTACTCTTCTGGGTGAGAGTGAGAGAGAAAGTGCTATTGATTTTAATTGTTAATTATGGGAGGGGTAACCCCTCGAAAAGAGGTGCCTACTAAGCATGGAGTATATAAATATTTCTTGTTTGGAATTTCCCCCAGAGAATCAAGGATGCAGAGGGAGAAGCCTGGGATCTGTAGCTAGTGAGGGTGACTGAATTGTGAGTCTGTCCAGGTTAAGATGGGGAGCAGTTCGACCAAGTGGGGAGGAGGGCCTGGTAACCACTGGCTGTGGACTAGAGAGGAGAAAGCGGTGAGGGAGACTGTAGCTCTGGTTAAGGCTGAAACTGGGGAGCAGGCGGTGAGCTGCAGCTCCTGGCTCAGTAGTAAAGCCCATCAGAAAGAGGGTGATCAATCAAAACTAACCAGGACATCCCTGCTCTCCACTCCCCAAGGACGCTGGAGCTTCAGCATCCAAAGTGCCAGATTTCATATGTTTTCTATTTGTGACAGTCAGACCTAACCCTCCTTATCACTAACCCCGGGTTTTGGAAAATTCAAGGGTGTACTTACTTAGATAAATATGGCCGAAAGAAATAGCTATGCCAAGTTCAGGCCAGTGTGATTATCTGACTTTAGTAAAATAGTCTGGGTTTGATCGTTCGAAGGGCGGGGAGTGGCGAGGGGTGGGGGGTGGGGGAGTCAAATGTCTGGAATTATACTCACTTTTGTATACAGAACACCTTGCAATTTAGAATTGGTAATTTATTTGGAAACAGTTGATGCTAAATCAATGCAGTGGTTTGTAATGAGGGAGGCAGAGGTGTCAGTTGGGGAGGGGCTGAGAATCACTAGGTTTCCTCCCCTTGTTTACAGCCTTGCTTCTGACTGGGGTTAACTCCGTGTGCTCCATTGGACCAGATGCCGTATAGAGCTGCTCCCTGAAGATCATTTGTTTCCTTGATGGGGAACATTTCTGAGCAGAGCATATTGGTTGCCATAGAGAAAGAAATAAAAGGAAGAACACTAGTCACATTAAGCTATATGTTTGTGCACTGGGCTTTAGATAAAAGGACCTTGATTCAGCCAAAGAGGAGAAGGCAAACTAGAGATTTCTAGGACCACTAAAACTAGCTTTATTTTGTTTTGGACTTTTGCAGTTGAAACATATAAGCTAATTTTATTGGTTGTTGTTAATTTTATATGACACGGTTTACTGAACAAAATAAACTTTGCTTAGCACTACACTGTTGACTAGTCAGCAGGGGGCGCACTGACTCGTTGTAGCAGGCACTCAGGAAAATGTAGCCAGTTCAAAAGCAAATCTGCCCTTACGAACTTGCCAGAAGAACAAACACCCTTACCTTTCTATGCATGTTCAAGGGAAGAAGGGAAATGATTGCACCACACAGGATTTTGAAATACTAGGACATTGATCTCTCCTCACACCAGCCATGCCTGTAAATGGCCCAGGAAGACAGAGAGTGCAGAAACTGTTCCCCCTTTCTCTCCAGGGAAGTGTGACTAGGGCTTTTTTTTTTTTTTTTTAATAAAATAGGCTGAAAAACAAAAGCAAAAGTAAAAATAAAAACAAAAAACACAGAAGAACTAAAGAACTCCTGTTGGTTATATTATAGGCAACTTAAGAAACTATCTTTCAGGTTGGTGATGATTATCTTTGTGGAGTCGGACTAGAAAACAAAATGAATTGTGAAGTGTTATATGTTGAATAATGGCTGTTTCAGCAGGACGCAGTCTCATAGTTGTGTATAACTCAGGGGCTTGGGGTTGGAGCAGGTGCCTGGGATCTTTCACTCCAGTTGATACCTAGTAGCCACTTTCGCTCTTACTGGTTTGAGAAGGATTTAACAGCCTTGAAAGGCTTTATAGAGAAAAGAAAATGCAAGCTAGACAGAGGGTAGGGGTAACTGTGGACTTGAACCTTTTTAGGACAGTTAAAGAGGAGAGTTAGATCCAAGGATTTTTTTGGGGGGGGGAGGAGGGGGTGAGGGCTGCCAGCGAGAACTGCAGCAAAGGATGAAAAAGTCCTGTAGCAAAGTCGGAAACTTCCTAAACCAGTGAAGGGCAAATCCTAGCAGGTTCTGAGGATTTAGTCAGTTTGTCTCAAACAATAATTTTCCCAAGGCGATTTAGAGAGTTACTAAGACAGGTCTGGGTGACTGGGGTGGGGCGGGGGGGGGGAGGCTTCCACAGAGCAGCTGAAGGCACCTGTGAACCGAGTGTCACAAAGCCTGACCTCTCTGATAGCTCTGCTACTGGGGGATGGGGGGTGTCACCACTGGCTTCTTTTCAACTCGGCTCCCAGTCAGCCAGGCTTCAAGTATAAGTTTTTTGTTTGTTTTTTTTTTTTAAAACTGATTTTGGTAGAAACTGTGACTTTGTCTAGGTTGGAAAGACTATATCCCCATAGTATATTTCTATAGTCTTTCATAGAAGCAAGAGAGACACTCACATAAAAAAGCATACGATTTTTCACCCTGGGCCCTTCCACATTCGAGAGTCAGGAAATGCACTGTCAGGTTGGCGCTAGGAAATCCAAGTGAAGAATTGAAGAAATTGTAATTTGAGCACAAACACTGCTTTCTTCCTCAGCTCTGCATTGAGGGACAAAAGACATCCAGGGGAGATCCACAGACTGGGACAGGTCCCAAAACATAGCTTGCTTTCCGTGCCCAGGGTTACTCAAGGAACTTAGGCTGTAAAAGCAGGGAAAGAAACTTTAAAAATGCATTCGTATTGTAAAACACTGGAGAAACCCTCACCATGTTTTTTTTTAAATAGGGAACATTCGTGTGTTACAGTTCTTTGGGGCTGTGATGGTCTAAGCAGCTGCTCCACCTTCCCTTTCTTGAAAATGTTCTTGAAAGAACCGAGAAGTGGGGGGAACCCTCATGGTTTCTAGAGATTGATATAACTTGCAGTGAAAGAAAATAAGAATTCCTGGACAAGCAACAAGTTAATTTGAGATGAGCTGTCACTTTACAGGGACCATGACAGAGGTCTGTAACGACTTGGGGATAGGCATAATCAAGGTGGGGATGACTTAAGATCCAAAGTTCTGGGCAAAATCTACAGGCTTAATTATTGGGGACTGTGAAATTGTTTTTTTGTCAAACAAGAGAATATAGACCATTACCTGGGTCAAATGTGCACAACATGAAATGGATATTTTTCCTCATTTGCTTCTATTTCACAATGATAAGGCAGTCCAGGAAAGCAGCAACATAAAAGCAGTTTCTCTTACCATTCACACTCTGAAATAGTCAGCTTACCCACAGTCTGTACTGTGTGGCCTATACAGAGGGAGAGGGCTCTGCAATAGTGACTTTTGGTTAGAAAATAGACTTTATTTGGCGGACAGTGGATGAGTTGCTTCTTGGTATTGCTGAGGTTTGGGAGTATGTACCCCCCCCCCCATCTCTTTGATAAACAACCAGTTCATCTCATCTGGAGGTTAGGTTTCTAACCTAACACTTAGGTTTCTTCAGGTTGGTTTGAAGGAGTAATTATGAATTCAAAGAAACTATGATGCTTTACTCTAAAGTAAGCAGCAGCAACCTTAAAACTACAGGGCATTTCTGATTGTGTGAAATAAATTGAGAAGGCACAATAACTTAGTTGGTGATCCTGTATGTGCTTTTGAAGCAACCCATTTTCAACTGTTTGCTCACTCGAGCTGTGTGCATGCATCTGTCAAGGCTGGTAATGCTCTCTTCCACTGGCTGGGGAAGCTGCAACTAATGGATTATTCTGGCCTGCCCTTCACCACCTTTCCTGTGCTCCCTGGCACCACGGACTTTTTCAGATTTCAACTCCTAGGATTAGGTAGCACAGAGCCAAGCTGATTGACTAGAGGTGATGGTGAAAATATGATTCATTAGCAACAAACACGGATATGTTCTAGCTTGAAAAATATTTCAAGGCAAGTGTGTGTGTGTGTGTGTGTGTGTGTGTGTGTGTGTGTGTGTGTGTGGTGTCTTATACAAAAACAAAGCCCAGAAATATGAACTCAGTTTTACTAAAGGGGGATCTGAAGTTTGTGTTCTTACATTGGCCCTAAAAGATTTGAGCTGCTCTCTGCCTGAGGCTCTGCTCCATCAAGTATTCGTCTAGTCTCACAGCATCTTCTCTGGCACCAAACCAGTAGTGCTGGGATGAAAGGAGAGGTGGTCTGGCATCCTAGAGAACAATTCTTCTCTCTCTCTCTCTCTCTCTCTCTCTCTCTCTCTCTCTCTCTATCTCTCGGTCTCTCATGACATTTGACCTTCGATACTGTCTGAGGAGCTGGGTGTGGGTGTAGATCTGGGCATTTAGACTGAAGTCTAGGCTGCTTTTTTTTTTTCCTCTTTCATCTCCAAGCAGTGCTTCCGTGGTTTCTTCCATCCTTGGATGCTGTAGCTTCCTTCCATTTCACAGTTCTGTTCCTTCTCTGGGGTCCTACCTAGCTCAGTGCTCAGTGCCTATCTGGGACTGTCCTTTATCGGTGTTTCTAAGAAAGTGTGGTTGTTGCTATTCACTTAAAAAAAAAAAAGAGGAAGAATGTAGTAGCAAATGTGTTCATTGAGAGTTGGTGCCTCCAATATCCCAAAGTGTGCAAGAATAGAATTTCAGCTGATAAACTAATTGATAGAAGTTTAGGTGGCAGAATGAAGTGACCTTGCTCACAATGGCTTCCTGCAGCTCAGGGTTACATCCAACTTAAAAGTTGTAGGTCCAGGATTTCTTTTAATACTCACTTCTCTGCCTAAATTTTCGGCCAGAATCCTAGTTAATAAAGCC